TGGAAACAGAGGCGAGATGCTTTAAATATTTTTTTACAAATGATCTCATAGCACGTGGAAGGATGCTATGGCCACTTGTTTTTCCTTCACTACAGACCAATAGCCCACATCTGTGAAGAATCAAATGGCATGCCCCCGAGTGCAGCCGCTGCCATTGTGTGTGTGTTAAATCCTGTGCCCTCTGCCTTGTTTTTCTAACTAGCTGGAATATGCTGGCCAAGCACCAGGGCGTGTTCATTACATCCTCTCTGGGCCCAGAGTCATGGACACTTTTCAAGTAAAGAAGTGACACACATCTTGCCCAGGTTGCATTTCTGTGACATCCGGCAGGCCTACAAAAACACTTTCAGGAGGAAAAGGAAAAGAATGACAAAGGCAGCTGAGAACAACATTACTGTCCTCATCCTGGCTGTTGAATAACATCCTGAGAAATGGGAGCTGGGTGGATGATTTACACCTTTAAATTATAATTCAAGACTAAAAAAAATCTGGGGACCATTCTACAAAAGGAAGGACCTGTGACTTAAAAGCATAATTTCCCCAGGGATGATAAACTTAGTTAAAATTTTGGTAGGTTCAATGACTTTGGGGATATATTTTCTTAAGCCTTGGTTGGTACCAGTGGCTGCTACCTAATATTATAAAATTGTCATGAATTGGGGAAGGATTTTTTCCAAAGTGAAGACAGTTTTTATTTTTGTTTGTATTGTTAAAAATGATACATGTTAATTGTAAATAATATTAATAATAATCCTCTTACAAAGTATAAGGAAAACAAAGGCAAATTTTGAGTACATACAAAATATACTTTCAAATAAGAGTATTGATATTGCATATCCTCTCTCCCTCAGTGATCTAGGGTGGAGCTGCTGATTCTTTCTAACTGTAAGACCCAGTACTGGTGATGGGGACACAGAGGAGAGAAAGACACGGTCCCTGACCTAGAGGTCTCACAATTGGGGATAAGGAAGATGTAAAGACAGACAATTGGAATTTAATTTGGTACTTGCTGTTATTGAATTTTGAACTGGACCAGGAAGGAAGGAACTAACCCCATGAGGGGGAGTGTTAGGAGAGCATTATAAGTTTGGCTTGTAAGACGATAGGGTTATGTCAGGGGAAGAGGAGGAAGGTATCCATGGGGAAGTCATCGCATTCAATGGCAATCAGCCCGGAAAAGGCCTTGAGTCTTCTAGAAGCCATGAATGATTTCAGGTGCTTGGAGCCTAGGATGAATAATGGAGGGGAGGGAGAGTGATGCGGCTGGACAGCGGGCTGGGGTCAGATTATGAAAACTCCTTATTGATTAGCAGATCGTTCCTGTTTTCTACCTTCTCTCAGCTGATTCTAAGAACAGTACTTTATTTCCCTTCATAGTGAAGATAAGTAAATGTAATCCTATGTACCTTAGTGTTTCCAAGAAACTAAAGAGCTGGTGAAAGGACAAACAGTTCCCAAAATACTTGCAAATGCAGAGTAGTAAATAATGTTACAAAAGTTACATGTTGCAAAAATTTTCAACAATGTCTTGTAATTATCAACTAATTTGGGCCAACTGACCAAATCCACAGAAGACCTGCAGTTCCCTGTGAGCTGGGTCAGTTTGGCAAGTCCCATGACATGGCTGCACATAGAAGGGGTGTCTGCGAGACCAGGATCAAACCCTAGAAATGGGCAGCCTGGTCCCCACAGACTTGATCTTCCTCTTTCCAGAGAAGGACGATCTGACTTTCCTACACCGGTGTCTGTGAAGGATGTAGGTGCCTGCCTCAAGAAAGGCAGGAAGCCACCACTTAGTAAGTGCCCTTTCTAGCCATGAGCCTAACAAGTGAACAAATCTCAGATTCACCAGAAAGGACAACTGGGCACTGGCATCAGGTGAGTTGAAAAGGACGAAGCAGTTGCTAATTCCAGCTCAAATCCTGATGCTCTTTTAAGATGATAGCAGGTCCTTGCCCTTCCTGTAGCCCTCAGACTGAAATCACTTGACTTCTGACTATTTCCAACAGCCAATATTTGCATTTCTTTGCCTGTGGCTTCCCCAACTTCACAAACCATTCTGCTAACACACATGGCATATGCATATGTGAGGAATGAATGCTGTCCCATGGCTCCTACAACCAGTGATGGGAGTTGGTGTTTTGTAAACTTCCAAAACTCCTTTACCCCTCAAATGAAATAAACTCTCCCTAGAATTTCCCTGGCTACTTTTTGAACTGTTTCCCTTCTCTTTCTCACTCTTCTATTCCAATATTGGTTTCCTGAAGCTTTCAAATAAATGATTTGCACTTAAATCATCTCAGGGTCTGTCTGTTTCTAGGAACCCCAATCCAAGACAAAGACATTTCTAGAACTTTCCCAAGCCATTGCAATCTGCCCTGCTCTGAACATTTGAGAACATACATCTACAACACAGGGTTTAGCATCTGATTGTTTTCTGGTTGCATTTGCTTTTCATATATTTAGTGCATGAATACACACACTCCCAACCCGCCATAAGCATTCTGAAGGAAGGAACCATACCTTACACCTCCTTGTGGCCCTGGCACAACAGCCCCACTCCCCCTCTGCCAAGTAATTAGCTCATAGCAGGTGGCTCACAGGTACTTGCCAACTAACTGTTCCATAGAGACTGGGACTTGACTGACCATCAGTGTCTTGTACTAGTAGATGGCATCTGATGACATGGCAGGTTGTGTTTGAGGAGGCCAGGAAAACTATCGACATTGGGTTCCAGTCAACAGTTATGGATACTGTTTTTCAGGATATGTCAGTCTCCATCCCATATGGTCCCCAAAGTGTCCAGACCAGCAGCATTGAGTATCACTCAGAAACTTAAATCAGAATCCATAATTTAACAAGATGCCCAGGTGGTGTATATGCACATGAAAGTGTAAGTAGTACTGCTCCTGAGGATCCAGGCCCTACAGGATTTATCTGCTATAGAACCTGAGGGAGTCTAGACATGCCCACATATATACATACATGCTTGATGTGTATATGTTTCCAGACACACACACTGCTATACCCAATTTTCTTTGCAAGACCCACTTGTTTTTATGTAAATAATCAGTAACCTTTAACAGTCATAATCTTTGACAATGTCAGTATATACATGAAGTCAGGAAATATCATGGATTACCTATAATACAGTTTATGAATATTTATCACACACCTGCTGTATGCAAGACACTGTATGCAAGTGCAAAGTTAAATAAAATTCAATCCCTCTGCTATAAAAAGGGGCTTTTTTATTCACTTAGAAATGATCCTTTACTCACTTGAGCCCAGGAGTTCAAGGTAGTGAGCTATGATTGTGCCACTACACTCCAGTGGCACAATAAAATAGAAGAAAAAAATGATCCTTTACTAGGCAAAAATTGTGATGCTTTGACACTTTTGTGTAATATTCTTAGAATTCCTCACTCCATCCCCCTCCTGTATAAAGGGAGAGGGTGTTTCTAAATAATGGTTCACATGGAATATCACAGGAAGATATGTACAAGTCTTTTCTATTGCTTAAGTTCTTGTTTTTATTTTTAATGTTATTCAATGTTTTTGTAGCTCAAGCAGGATCTGAAAGTATTCCAAGGGCTCCCTGCAGGATTTGACACAAAGGTATTATCACTATGATGTAAAATTGTGTAACAATATTACTCTCAAAATATATGAAGAGAGTACTTGAAAGTAGATGAATTTTGTTGCAAAGCCATGACTAACTATACTGTCTTGGAATTATATTTATATTTCAGCCTTCTTCATTATTTATCAAAAAAGTTAAGCCTGAATTTATTTTGTAGTGAGTAGGGCTTAGGAACTTGGTACTGGTTTACATGAACTGAGCTGAAGTTCTCTGAGAAAATATGCATCTAACAGTTGGCTTAGCAGCAATACACTATCACACTAAAATGTTCACAGGTATAGATCATAATATTAACCAGAATGGTTGCTGTTATCTACGTGTATTCATGTAGATAACATGTAAGAAATTACACTGAGAGGATATTTTGACATCAGTTTATTTCTTGCTAAGTAACAAAGTAAATGAAGAAATATTTGTTGCTTTTTAAGATTGATGAATATGAGATAAACAGAAAATAAATGTTTCCAGAACTGTTGATGAGTAAATGAAAGGGTAATAATATTTCCCAACCTTCAGTGCAGTATAGATCCTATAGAGGTCTAAACATCTAACAATTCGCTCAGAAAATTAGAAAATAAACCTTTCTAACCATCTTGCTTCATTGAAATCTTTATTTACTATGTGTGATTGATTTTTTAAATCTCTGGATTAGACTAAACTCCTACTCCTGTCTACATTTTCTCCAACTCTTCCTTCTGCTGCCTTCTGCTTTAAGAGGGCAAACTTCCTTCAGCTGTAGGCAGCATTCTCCCACAATGAGGGTTCCTATCTCCTTCAAATCTTCCTTTCTTCATCCAGAAGAGTTTCCAGAGCCCACCTTCTCCATGACAGCAACACATTTCTAAAGCACTGTTTGTCCACCAACTCCTTCTTGACTAGTAAATACAAAATAAAGGGGGGTAAGAGAGTGAAAGAGGGGCAACAGCAAAAGTTACAAATGTTCCCTGAAGGAAACAATTCTACCTTCGCTCATCTTATGAAGTGAGAATAACCTCAAAGGCAAGTTGCATGGATTTTAGCATCCCATATAATATACATAATAGGCACTAGAGATACAGTGAGGTGACTCTTCTGTTCATCTATTGAAAAGTGGCAAGATTAAACCATGCTTAAGATCTCAACACAACACTATTTAAAGTCCTAAACTGTTTTATTCTATTTCCACCATTTACCTAAAGGAGAGCTCACAAATGAGTGAAAACGAATTTGGAAACTGATGGTTTTTCTCCAGGCAAGCATATTTCAGACTTTTTCTTTTGCAGACATCTTAACCAGGGGTATCTTCACAACCCCATTCTATTAACTGAAATTTGCTTCCATTCATTTATTCACTCGTTCATTCTCTGCTTACTTCTAGAAAGCAATTAAGGCAGTTCACAAGAAAATCACAGTTGCTGCGAAACCAAAAAAGAAAAAAGAAAAGAAAAAAAAGAAAAAAGAAAAGAAAAAAAAGAAAATTAACTCAAGGAAAAATCCTTGAACTAAAAAAGGGAGTGTTGGAAGGATTGGTGGGTAAGGTACCAGAGAAATTATTACTATATCAAAGTTTCCTTAGCTAAGGAAATCACCAACCCAAGGCAAGGTTTACACTTTTGCAAAATGCATTTTTCCATTTCATTCTTCCCTATAAGTAATGAAATAGTGCCCAAATCTTTCTGTCTAACCTGTATTTTGGGTGTTACATCTCAACTACCATGAATAAAGCATCCTGGCTATTTGTTTTGAAACTAAGGAGGTGCAAAGAAAAATAGGCACCTTGCATCTAATTATCTAATGAGTAAATTATGTCATGTAATGAGTAAATTATGGGAAGTTCAATTGTAACTGATGTATAGTTCAACTGAGTTAAATCTTACCATATTGTTCCTTTTCCTAATGAGCTAAAAGCATATACTTTTTTCCTGGCAAAAAGTTCAAATACAATCAGCCTCTCCTTTTATTTCTCTTTTCTTTCTTTTTGGACCCATAATAGGCATCATTCTTCAAAATGATTTCCATGATTGGGCCAGAAGGCCTGTGGTTACTTTTCTCTTTCACTCAGAGATTGCACCTCATTTACTAAACAGATATTGTGTAATTAAAGATGGGCTACTTCTTTGAGTTCTCTAGAAATGTTTCAATTCTAAAGTCCCCAATGGTCTTTCAAAAAGTTTGTTTAATTGAAGCAAAAGAAATAGTGGAGCCATTGTTCAGGATAATCAATGAGAGGTCATTTACATGAGGGGACTATGGCATGGTGGGAGAGGAAAATGTGGCTCAGTATAATTCATTCTGGGTCCCTTGAGCCCACACAAAAGATTTACCTTTAAGAGTTTAAGTTCCCAAGCCCCTAGTTTTTAGAGAGTAAATCCAAACTATAGAACCTCTAAATCTTTTATCAATTCATAAAATAATACTATGTTTGAAGCTAAAATTAGACAGACTTCCATAAGCTTTAGGATTCTGTAATTATTTGGGGGTCAATGCAACAACAACAAAAAAATGCTGAAAAATAAACTCTTAGCACAAATAGAGGGAGATTTGGGTTTTTAAACACAGACATGGCCACATTGAATGCTATTTGGGGAAAAATAATTTGAAATTGAAAAAAACGTATTTGACAACAGACCATGTCAAGTTTTCTGCCCTTTAAAAAATTCAAACTAAAGACATAATTTATTGTCTCAAATAACATAGCATAAAGTTAAGCCACCTCTCATATCCTCTGATTTCTATTTTAAATCCTAAGTCAATTTCATTCAAACATCTTTTTGAGAAAGATATACTATGTTCCACACTCAACTTTAGCCATAATTGTTTTATAATTAAAAAATTATACCTTGCTTTTTTTCTCAAGGGTGGGTTTACTTTAGCATTCTGTGCCAAATGCATAGACCTAAACTAAATCCAACTTATCCTTAATTTTTAACATGATATAAAATGTAACATTCATATAAAACAAAGAATACATCTGTTTTCATCAGCTGTTTCTTAACTTTTATTACTGGGATTTATTTTTTAAAACTGTTTTGCCCAGACAGTTTTGTTTTCCTAAGCATGATTTATTACTCTCCCATGAGCACACAAAAAATATGTGTTCCTGAATCAAAAATAATGAAGAATGGAAACTTATTCATTTTACAATTGACTAAACGATCATTTAAAATATGTAAATACGTTTAAATTCTAATAGGGTTTTTTTCAATCAATGGGTACAAAAATATATTCGACTACCCCAAGTTGATATACAGAAAAATTGAGACACAATCAAAAGATAAAAGAAAGAATTGAAGAAAGTGACTTTTGTAATGCTATTCTAAAAATCAGCTCAAAGTTGGAGAATTATGTACGTAAGAGAGAGATTAACAAGGTTTTTATTTATTTATTTTCTCCTTTGTTCCACAAAAAAATATTTCAGGCAGCTTGCTTCTTGATGTTCTGTTAAAAGATTATACAAGCTTTTGAATATGATTAACATTTGATGTCTACTTTCTTGGCAAGCATTTTACATGTATTTTATGCTAATATTTTAAGGCTAAAAGAGCATTTTCTTGTCTGTGTGGCATAATTTTTAAAGAATGAAATTTATTAATTGTAAAAATATCTTGAAATTTAAAGATTACTAGATAGCTTGACCTTTACTGGCTTCCCTACTTCAATAACAGCAAGTTTTTGCAGAATTTAAAAGACTGCAACATTTTTACTTCAGAAATAGGAAAAGATTGAAAAAGATTGAGGAATAATTACAAAGAGAAAACGATATAAATATCTAGATTATCTAAAATAATGAGCTAAAGTTGGGTTCAGGTCACAAAGAAAATTTTAAGTTGTATAGTGTTTTGATGTAATCACATAACTGCTTTTAAAAGAGAAATTGGCTTTCTTGGTGAAATGTTGAACATATTTCAATTCTAAGTAAAGTATTTTGCAGGTTACCAAAATACTGGCTCACATTTGCTTATATTGAGTTGGTTTTGGGGTGTTGGACATTTCTAGAATTTCCCAACTATTATCAATTCTCAAGATAAATTAACTGGGAAAAATTAAAGGGCTATATAGCTTCTAAAATGGCTTGTTTTCATTTTTGTGATAATTCAAATATTTCTGCATTCATGTTTAAGATTTTTGATACTTAAGTAATAATAACTAATGTTGATTTAACATTTCTGTATGACAGGCAATTTTTAACTCACTTTTTTTCAACTCACTGAATTCTCACAACCTATGATGGTCAATATTAGGTGTCAACTTGACTGGATTGAGGGATGCCTAGATGGCTGGTAAAGTATTGTTTTTGGGTGTGTTGCTCTGGCCCATTTGTCAAGCGACCTGAAAGGCAGATAGTTTTGAGTGGAGCCCAGACCAGAAGTCTCTGCAACAGGTCTAAGCTACTGTGCAAGCCGTATGACCCAGCAGATCTAGTGGTGCATGAGGTATCAATAGCAGATTGGGATGCTGTTGGGAGCCTTTGGCAGGTCCTCATAGGTGAATCATAGTGGAGCCCTTTAGGATTCTATCTAGAGCAAGGCCCTACCATCTTCTGTAGATAACTCCTTTTCTTTTTTTTTTTTTTTTTTTTTGAGTCTTGCTCTGTTGCCCGGCTGGAGTACAGTGGCGCGATCTCGGCTCACTGCAACCTCCACCTCCTGGGTTCAAACAGTTCTCCTGCCTCAGCCTCCTGAGTAGCTGGCATGCACCACCAGGCACAGCTACTTTTTGTATTTTCAGTAGAAACAGTGTTTCACCACATTGGCCAGTAGGGTCTCGATCTCCTGACCGCATGATCCACCTGCCTCGGCCTCCCAAAGTGCTGGGATTACAGGCTTGAGCCACCACTCCTGGTTGATAACTCCTTTTGAGAGACAGCTTTGGCCTGCTACTGGACCTTAGTAGAAACTGAATATTTGACTACAGGTCACCAAGTTTCTATGTGACCTGAACTGCCTATCACGAACTGGGTGCTTTCTGACCCATCAAGACATAAAATTGGGCGTGCACTGCAGTATTCCATCATCAAATAGAAGTGGTGTATACGTGATCAGGGTTGAGCAGGTCCTGAGAACACAAGTAAGTTACATGAAGAAGTAGCTTAAATGCCCATGGTCTCACTCCTGCTACCCTGCCTTCTGTCTCCCAGCCTCTACCTATGGCCTCATGGGGAGTTTTCTGTGATCAGTTAACAGAGGAAGACGCTAGGGCATGGTTTACAGATGGCTCTGCATGATATGCAGCATCAACCAAAAGCAGACAGCTGCAGCACTACAGGACATCTCTGGGACATGCCTGAAGGACAGTGGTAAAGGAAAATCTTCCCAATGGGGAGAAATTCAAGCAATGCACATGGCTGTACACTTTGCTTAAAAGGAGATGTGGCCAGATATGCAGTTATATATTTGGGTTGAGCCAATGGTTTGGCTGGATGGTCAGGGACTTGGAAGGAATGTGATTAGAAAATTGGTGACACAGAACAATAGAGAAGCTGAGTGCCAAATCATGAATGAAGTCCTATTCACAATTGCTAAAAAGAGAATAAAATACCTAAGAATACAGTTAACAAGGGAAGTGAAGGGCCTCTTCAAAGAGAACTACAAACCACTGTTCAAGGAAATCAGAGAGGACACAAACAAATGAAAAAACATTCCATAGTCATTGACAGGAAGAATCAATATCGTGAAAATGGCCATACTGCCTAAAGTAATTTATAGATTCAATGCTATTCCCACAAAACTACCATTAACATTCTTCATAGAATTAGAAAAAACTACTTTAAAATTCATATGGAACCAAAAGAGAGCCCATATAGCCAAGACAATCCTAAGCAAAAAGAATATAGCTGGAGGAATCACGCTATCCAACTTCAAACTGTACTACAAGACTCCAGTAACCAAAACAGCAGAGCACTGGTACAAAAAACAGACACACAGACCAAGGGAACAGAATAGGGATCTCAGAAATAAGACTGCACATCTACAACCATCTGATCTTCAACAAACCTGACAAAAACAAGCAGTGGGGAAAAGATTCCCTATTTAATACATGGTTCTGGGAGAAGCGGCCAGCCATATGCAGAAAATTGAAACTAGCCCCTTTCCTTATACAAAAATTAACTCAAGATGGATTAAAGACTTAAATATAAAACCCAAAATGATCAAAATCCTAGAAGAAAATCTAGGCAATATCATTCAGGACATAGTCATGGGCAAAGATTTCATGATGAAAATGTCAAAAGCAATTTCAACAAAAGCAAAAATTGACAAATGGGATCTAATAAAAGAGCTTCTGCACAGCAAAAGAAGCTATCATCAGAGTGAACAGATAATCTACAGAATGGGGGAAGATTTTTGCAATCTATCCATCTGACAAAAGTCTAACATCTAGAATTTACGAGGAACTTGAACAAATTTACAAGAAAAAAAAACAAACAACCCCATTAAAAAGTAGGCAAAGAACATGAATAGCCACTTCTCAAAAGAAGACATACATCTGGTCAACAAACATATGAAAAAAAGCTCAACATCACTAATCATTAGAGAAATGCAAATCAAACCCACAATGAAATACCGTCTCACACCAGTCAGAATGGCAATTATTAAAAAGTCAAGAAACAGCAGATTCTGGCAAGACTGTAGAGAAATAGGAACACTTTTACACTATTGGTGGGAATGTAAATTAGTTCATCCATTGTAGAAGACAGTGTGGTGATTCCTTAAAGACCTAGAGGCAGAAATACCATTTGACCCAGCAATCCCATTACTGGGTATATAAAGAAAGGAATATGAATAATTCTGTTATAAAGATACATGCACAAGTATGTTCACTGCAGCACTATCCACAATAGCAAAGACATGGAATCTACCCAAATGCCAATAAATGATAGACTGGATAAAGAAAATGTGGTACGTATACACCATGGAATACTATGCAGCCATAAAAAGGAATGAGATCATGTCCTTTGCAGGGACATGGATGGAGCTGGAAGCCGTTATCCTCAGCAAACTAAAATAGGAACAGAAAATCAAACACCACATGTTCTCACTTGTAAGTGGGAGCTGAACAATGGGACACATGGACACAGGGAGGGGAACAACACACACTGGGGCTTGCAGCGGGGGTGCGGCAAGGGAGAGCATGAGGAAGAATAGATAATGCATGCTGGGCTTAATACCTAGGTGATGGGTTGATAGGTGCAGCCAAACACTATGGCACATATTTACCTATGTAACAAACCTGCACATCCTGCACATGTATCCCGGAACTTAAAATAAAATTAAATTAAAAAGAAAAGAAAATTGGTGACACAGAGAAGGAAACAACAAACACTGAGGTCTACTTGAGGCGGGAGGGTGGGAACAGGGAGAGGAGCAGAAAAGACAACTATTGGGTACTGGGCTTAATACCTGGATGATGAAATAATATGTACAACAAACCCCGATGATACATGTTTACCTATGTAACAAACCTTCACTTGCACCCCCAAACCTAAAATAAAAGTTAATAAAACAAAAAGAAAATTGGTGACAAAGAAATTTTTGGGAAGAGGTGTGTGGATGGACCTCTCTGAGTGACCAAAAACTGTGAAGATATTTGTGTCCTCTGTGTGCTCTCAGCAAAGGGTGACCTTGGCAAGGAGGATTTTAATAATCAAGTGGATATGATGACCCACTCTGTTGACACCACTCAGGTTCTTTCCCCAACCACTCCTGTCATCGCCCAATGGGCTTATGAACACAGGGGCCATGGTGTCAGAGAAGGAGGTTATTCATGGACTCAGCATCATGTACTTCCATTCACAAAGGCTGACCTAGCTACTGCCATCGCTGACTGCCAATCTGCCAGCAGCAGAGACCAACAATGAGCCCTCTATATGGCACTATTCCTTGGGGTGTTCGGCCAGCTACCTGTGGCAGTTCGATTACATTGGACCACTTCCATTATGGAAGGGACAGGGTTTGTTCTTACTGGGATACTCTTACTCAGGATATGGATTTGCCTCTCCTACATGCAATGCTTCCGCCAAGACTACCATCCATGGACTTGCAGAACGGACTTGTCGACTGCCGTGGTATTACACATAGCATTGCTTTTCACCAAGGAACTCACTCTACAGACAGAAATGCATGCATTCATGATCATGGCATTTACTGGTCTTACCATGCTCCCCTTGATCCTGAAGCAGCTGGCTTGAGAGAACAATAGAATGGCTTTTTGAAGTCATAATTACAATGCCAAACGGGTGACAATACTTTGCAGGACTGGGGAAAAGTTCTCCAGAAGGCTGTATATGCTCTGAATCAGCATCTAGTATATGGTACTGTTTCTCCCATAGGTAGGATTCACAGGTCCAGGAATCAAGGGGTGGAAGTAGAAGTGACACCACTCACAATTACCCCTAGTGACCCACTAGCACCATTTTTGTTTCATATTCCCACGACATTATGTTCTGCCGGCCTAGAGGCCTTAGTTTCAGAGTGAGGTATGCTGCTCTCAAGATAGTAAGTTCTCATGAGAGCTGGTTGTTTAAGTGTGTGGCACCTTCCCACCCTTGCTCCACTTTCACCACATGATCTGCCTATTCCTGCTTTGCCTTCTACCATGAGTAAAAGCTCCCTGAGGCTTCCCACAAAAGCAGCTTGCAGAACTATGCTTCCTGAACAGCCTGCAGAACCATGAACCAATTAAACCTCTTTTCTTATAAATTACCCAGTCTGAGGTATTCTTTATAGCAATGCAAGAATGGACTAACACTCTATGAGTGTTAGTCTCTATGAGTCAGATACTGTGATTAACTCCTTTTAATAAACTGAGCCATGCAAGGTTAAATAACTTGCCCAAGGTCCATGTCCGGTTAGCTACAGTGCCAGATTCAAACTTAGGAAAAAGCTTCCGAAACCACTTTATAAACAACCATATTATTGCACTTGCCTGCTCAGACAAACAAGGCACAGCTAGGAAGGCTTTACATGGTACTACTACCTTTTCATTCCTCGAAGGTAAAATTTGCCATGTAAATGTTTATCCAAAAAAAATCTTTCACATATATTGACATTTTAAACAGTCAACACTTTCCTTGCTAGTCCCTTACTCATCAATTCTACTTTGCATGCAGTAAGAAAGCCTCTTGGAACCCAAATGCCTGATCACATCTCTGGGATGGAGAAACTGAACTCATCGCTCAGACAGACCAGCTGAATCCAACAGAAGGGTGGTGCTAGCAGGGTTTTCGTAGCTTTGTTTCAGTTGTGGTTCTGGATTTTCTAAAGTGGCTCTAAACCACCAGCCAATGAGAGTATTTGAGATTTTATTTTAAGGCTTAATATCTCAAGCTCTGAACAAACAACAAAATAGGACATAACAAAAGTCTTCCAATAGAATAGGACAAACAATCATATACCAGCAGTAGATAGAAATGTACCTCCTCCAGAGTGATGACCACTGGTTAAAAATGGCTTTTAAAACCTGATATTGGTTTCTCTATAAGGGAAGTATGTAGAATAAGGAAGAGGGGTGGGGTAGGAAGGGGCTCACAGATGCTGCCAATGTTGTTGATAATTTCCTGTTACATTACATATATTTA